TCTCGTGGCTTGTTGTTTTTTTTTTTTTCTCAACCAAAACTAAATGGTGACAGTACATAATGAACTTTTTGTGCTGCATTGTATTTTAATACATTTCAAGTAGTAGTTTATAAAGTTCCAAATAAACATTCACTGTAACGTAATATTTTTTCTCATTGTTTCATAATTGTCGGTCTTGTTAAGTTACACACTGGCAGAATAGTATTGAAATAAAATAAATAAAGATGCGATTTGTGATAAAATAATATCAGAAGTAAATTAAAACTAATATATATATATATAAACAGATATAAAAATGAGAACAAAGATATTATTAATTAGATAACTGCCAATAGAACAGTAACTTATACACAGCTGGGTAAGATTGAGATTTAGAGAATCGTATATATATTTCCATTATATGTTATCTTAATTCTTTAGATTTTGAAATGAGCGGTAAGAGTTTGTAGTCATTGAGAAAAATCTGAACTTATTTCTTTTTTTCACCAAATTATATGTGTAATCACAGGCCAGTTCTTTTATGGACCTTTTCATATCTGTGTGTGATTTGTTTTAACTCAAAGCCACACAATAGGTTACCTGAGCTCTGTCCACTGCGCGGAATCGAACCCCGCATTTTAGCGTTGGAAGTCCGTAAGTTGCTGCTGACACGGAGACAACTGCAATACAGACCAGAAAAATGAATTATTTTCGCATATAAATTAACACATGGAAACTTTCCTAAAGCTTCACCATGTTCGCCGCTCAAGCAAGCATCATAATGAGAAATGAATTACTTGTTACGAGACCAACTGGTAATGAAAACATTTACAAATCAACAGACGTATTTTGTGCATGCATAAAATTTCCTGGGATTATTGAAGTCGTATTTAGTAACAGTGTGAAATACCATGCATACTGTGGGTTCGACATTTTTGTTTTCAATTGATAAAAGACCTATGAGATTTTGCCAAGTCAGCTCTATTAATAATTGAACATTATTTATTCAGCCTTGGATGTGTGTTAGATAGTTGGGCCTCTTCCGACCACCTAACTATTCTATTATGGTCTACAGCATTGTTCCATCCATGACTAGCCATGTGAACCTGGTTGGCGGCTCATTTGTTTCCTTGCTCTAACACAGTAGATATTTTCCCACCCCTGACGTATTCATAGTTACCGAAACCGTTCGAAGCGAGCGCTTACCCTACTTTGTACGCGAATTTGAACTACCTACCGCTTGAGGACGCTGAAATCATTCGGATCACACCTGCGTCCAATGAGAAACAGGCTTCACGTGAGGAAATGCGAGTGCTCAGATCAGCTTCAGCGTGTGTATATGTTGGCTAGTTCATGGTGAAGGGAAGAGTTGGTGGTGTTTCTTGCAGTTCTGTTCTGTCTAGTGACTTCTGCTTGAGGCCATGTTTAGACTACTGACTGCATACACACAGATTAGATTGTTCAGAGCTGTTGCACTTTAAACTTTTTCCCCAGTAAACAGAGACAAACAACTTTCGTGCATTATCTTGTGCTGTGTTACGAGCTTTCTAATCTAGGCTGGCACTTAGCGGAAAACACACAAGAAGGCCATGTTACTGTAAAGCAGGATTATATTTTCTGCATATAAACTAGCGTTGGAACCACTCTTAAATCAGTGTGGAAACGATGTGCCTATTGCCTGTTGGTGACAATTACCCTGAGAGATCTTGTTCAGATGTTCGTAATAGTTCAGTTTAAGTGGTACTAGTTAATATTACTACAGTATTAGTAAACTAGGTTTAACTTCTCAAATCTGCCTTCCGACTGAAAAAAACAAACAAAACAAATCCAAGTTACAGGTAAGAAACTAGTGAAATTCAAAAGCTCTATATCAGTATATTCTAAACAAAAGTAGATATAACATAGGATAAGTATTACTAAGGTAAAATATACTTTTAATGCTAATATCTCATTGCTCTCTAGTACTACAGTACCAACTGTGAGCCCATGTCAGAGTTTTTAAGTAAAAGTTTCTATGATTGATTTAAAAGTTTCAGTAATGATTTCTAGTTCCATTACACCTTGTGTAAATTAGGATCTGGCTTCGTGAAGATATCTTATATAATTTTTAGTAGCCACAAATATATATATGATATTGTGAACAATTTTTGATTTGATCACCATTGATTTTTTGTTCGATATAGTTCGATTAAACATAAATCAAAGTCTCCTTTTAAAAAGGATAAATTAAGTTTGAGGGGAAAAAAAGATTGTAACAAGACATTTTTTTTGCCAGAAAAAAAAAGCAGTTTTCTCAATATGTATGAAACAAATATCTGTTTTATTTACGTAAAGTTGTAAACTGTAAAACATTTATGCTAGAAGTTAAAAACTGCCTTTTTTAAACATATCTGAAGTAGTTAGTTTAATGCTGATTGTTTGTTTGTTTGGAATTAAGCACAGAGCTACACAATGGGCTATCTGTGCTCTGCCCACCACGGGTATCGAAACCCGGTTTCTAGCGTTGTAAGTCCGCAGACATACCGCTGTGCCACTGGGGGGCTAATGCTGATTGTGGAATTCTTATCGAATATATCATAATAAAAGCTTTAGGTTTGTTAAAGGTTTTTATCCATACTTTCCCTCATGGAAAAAAAAAGGGGGGGGTGTTATATTTGAATTATTACCGCTTCATGTGTGATTGAATTTCTTATTTCCCAAGCGTAAGGGACGTATCAAGGAGCTTTAAATTTCACAATAAATGTGTCTATTGCCTCAAATAGCAGACCTTCGCATGCCTTTTCGTAGGGCTTTGAATGAAACGTTGGGAAGTCTTTTTGGAAGTAAATATATTGGCTTATTCATTTCATTATAAACAAAGATATAATTAACCTTCACAAATTATTTTATTTTCCTATTTTTCGAGATATCAAAAGGGGTAATTCTCGTTTCTTTAAGGCGTTATAGTGTACTATAATTTGTATACTATTACGCTAATTACTGTCAGACTTCGTATAGTCAGTCATCGTAAATGGTGAGTCCTATGTGCATATAGTTTAATCAAACATGTGTGCAGCTGTCTCTCTCAGATCTTTGTATGTGACATCACGTAACTAGGTTTACGGGTTGCAGATGTTGCGTACTTTGTGTAGGTGTTGTTACATAATTTAAAATGTAAAAGTTATAAGTTACATTATTTCGGTAAAGGAGTAACCATAGAAACAAAAACTGAAACAACGTTGAATTGACCGCTCTGTGAATTATATTTCATAAGGCACTCATCGTCTTACTAAAGGTCACGTGTCAACATTTAGTAGGTGCCTGGTATCTTGTCAGGGTATTATCACGTGTGAAGCCAACAAAGTACAGGTTTTGGATACTATAACACAGACATGCTTCGTATAAAATGCCAGTAATGTACTTTACCATGGGATATTTCCGTGTAAAGTCAGATGTCTACTGGTTTCGGATACATTGTCACGGTTTAGTTCCGTGTAAAGTGTCAGTAAATTACTGGTTTGGGATACTTTACCATGGGATAGTTCCGTGTAAAGTGTCAGTAAATTACTGGTTTGGGATACTTTACCATGGGATATATCCGCGTAAAGTCAGTTGTCTACTGGTTTCGGATACATTGTCACGGTTTAGTTCCGTGTAAAGTGTCAGTAATTTACTGGTATAGGATACTTTACCATGGGATATTTCCGTGTAAAGTCAGTTGTCTACTGGTTTCGGATACATTGTCACGGTTTAGTTCCGTGTAAAGTGTCAGTAATTTACTGGTTTCGGATACTTTACCATGAGATAGTTCCGTGTAAAGTCATATGTCTACTGGTTTCAGATACATTGTCACGGTTTAGTTCCGTGTAAAGTGTCAATAAAGTCCTGGTTTGTGATGCTTTACCATGGGATAGTTCCGTGTTAACTCATCATCGGTTTCCTCTATTTTTGTGACGTGTTACTACTGCGTAACGTAGTCATTGTGCTAGAGAAAACTAATGAAACACCTTGAGATTCTGTATGGTAAGACATACATAGAATATTGTAAATAAAATTACTATATCTTACAAACAACTTCCCCGGAGAAACAAAATTTTACTAGACGTATATTGAGAATCATATTTTTTAAAGAAAGGCCGTTTCAAGACGTATATAGGGAAACACCGAGAATGATATATTTTTAGGAAGGTTTGTGCATAATAAAGGTTGTTTCAAAACCAAATTATTATGTATAATGAAACCGCTGCCCTCGCAAATTGGCATGTCTTCAAGTTCTCTTCTTTCTCTTACTTTTTCAACCGTTACAAATGGGAATTAGTGATTTGAATAAAACGTGCAGCGCAGGATATTACGAAGATTAATTGAAAACGTACAGAAAAGGTGATGGTTGTAATAACTTCATTAACAATAATTTCAGCTTGAATGTGCTGATTGAAATGTCAGAGAATACAATGAACACCTTTGAATTTTTTTAAAGCATCTTATACAATAGGCAAACATTTGTAATAAAACTTGAGATTCTCAGTGATTCCTTTGACGAAATTTAATTCCCACTGGGCATGTTGACTTTAAAGGTATTCCAAATAAAGGTTTTTATATATTAGTTTCTTTAAGGATATGCATCATGACACTGATTTCTATCAGTGCCGCGCTCTTTCCAAGAAGGGTGTAACCCTCTAACGTACAAAACAGTGCCAAGACAAGAGTGGTTAGTCATGTAATATCCACAGTAGTAAGTGAAAAGTTCTCGAATTTCATACTTACCCCCCCCCCTCCTTTGTTGGATCATTGCTTTTACACCCAGAAAAAAAAAACACACGATATTTCAGTGTTAACAATAGCTTGTAATAACCAACTTCCTGTTAAAGAAACAAGATGAAACTGTGCACGTGTGAGTGTATATGTGCGTGTCTGAAGAGGTAAAACGGTATGGAAAGTGGACAGCTTTTGTCCAGTGGTCAATTTTCGGACAGTGTGAGCCGAAATTCTCATTTGTAATTTCATATTTATAACATTTGTAGTCGATGCTAATCGGTGCTATGTGATTTTCATTGAAGTTGAGTATGCCATTTGTGTCATTACCCTTGTAAAAACCATTCCTAAACTGTATATTATGTTAACAAGATATGCGCCTGGGAATTATGATACCAGAACGTCACATTGTTTGAGATAAAAGACCTCAAGTTTTTTACGTGTTGTCTTAATGTTTTTAGATAATTTGAATTTCATAACATTCTAATAGTCTGCAGAGTCGATATATATATTATAATTATCCAGAAGAGCGTTATTAATTCTTCATGCATCATGTCCTTAGATACGTAATATACATTAGTTTATTGTTCTTGTTGTTGTTTTCCAGAAGAAATGACTGGTAATAGTTTTTAATTATTGTCGTTGTTGTTTCGTAATCAGTAGGCTCGACCGTGCCTAATGGTTGTGGTATCGGTCTTGGAATCTGAATTAAAGATGTGGCTATACCAAACGCACATCCAGTTGTGAGTATGTTATACGAATGACTACCAATTCCGATATTTAGGCGGTGAGTGCTTCTAATTGGTTGTTTTCCCCTCTAGTTCGCAGCTCAAAATTGGGGTCAGCTATGCCTGAACCATAGAAATTTTGAACCTGGACGTTTAGCTAATTGTACAAAAACGTGGATAAACATACAATCATTACGACTTGTCTACCATCATTACCAAGATATTCCAAAAATTATGAAAACTTATTCACACATAAATACATTTTACGTGTTTCTTTATGTCTAGTTTCGGTACATTGAAAATGTATACTTGTCGTGTTAGTTTTATGCAAGTGAGTGTGTTTGACTAACAAGGTTACCATCGTTGTTTTGATCACACTTGATAAAACTTTAATGATGATGATAATTTGTTTTATATTTTAAAGAAAATTAAATTAAAAAAAAAACGTGAAAGGTCACATCATTATTATTTTACATTTTATGTGCCTTATAACTTAAGTACGACAGCATGTATAATTCGGTTACGTTTTTGGTTCCTAAAGACCTATAATTAATTTGAAATGAGGCCTTCATGTTTCTTCGTTTTTTCCGGTAAACTTATTACAATGTATAATGACTTTCCAGAATGGCTTAAATATTTACATCATGATGTAAAAAAAAAAAAAAGAGTTTAGACAGTAAACCATCTATTTCACAGCCAGTCACATACATATGATGGATTACTCTGTAAGCTATTCAGTTCTGTAATTGATCGAAGGTTGTGTTTTGAATTTTAGTTGTGTTATTGTCACAGAGAGAAGCCTTGATGAGACACGTGATTACATGATTCCATGCAGAACGACACGAAAGCCTGTCGGTTGCTATTATTGTAATCAACTACCGTAAACTTCTCAGGAAGTTGACAGGTATAGCAGCGAGGCTGAAAGGATCGAACCTTCTGTGGAACTTATACAAATTTTAAAGCACTTTAAAATATAGACTTTTTTCCTTTTTTTTTTTTCGTAAATTTGGTGCGAAAACAAAAGATTGACTTAAAAGCACCTTTTTTTTCCCCCACAGAAGCATTATTAATCAAAGAATAACTCTCATGTCTAGGCTTACTCACACCTGCCGAAAAGGAGAAGATATTGATATGTATATTTAAAATGTTTTTCATGTACTATATCGTTCCTATAGTTGTAACTGGGACAGTTAATACGTGCTAATTAACTGTTATCTGCTTGCTTCACTTTAGGAATAATGGAAGCATATCTGGTACATTTCACGTAACAATTGTCTTAAAATGTTGTTTGTTTTCAGTTAATGTTTTTTTTAATGTTGAGAAAACTTCAAAAGAGCAACAACACTTATCATTTTAATATTGTTTAGAATTTGTTTTGA